CGGCTCCAAAAATCCCGACCTCTTCCCAAGGGGGTAGTTTTTCGTCCAATATCCGTGAAAACAGCGGATCGTCGGATATCTGGGTGTATCCAGCTTCCTGGTGCTACTTCGCGAGGGCAGGAACGGTCAGCTTCGAATCGGGAAATCGGATCGGATCAGATCTTGCATGGGATCGGCCCGCGTCGGCGAGCAGTCGGCATCGAATCGGATCGGCCGCGCCAGGATGCACAACAGTGCCATGCTAGCAGCACCGGGCCGCATCGCATCGTCGAAATACCAGCATCGGATCGGATCGCGCCGATCGCAAGCGGAGGAGGAGGAGGAGGACAAGAGAGGAGGAGGAGGAGGAGGAGGAGGAGGAGGAGGAGGAGGAGGAGGAGGAGGAGGAGGGAGGAGGAGAGGGAGGAGGAGGAGGAGGAGGAGGAGGAGGAGGAGGAGAGGAGGAGGAGGAGGAGGAGGAGGAGGAGGAGGGAGGAGGGAGGAGGAGGAGGAGGAGGAGGAGGAGAGGAGGAAGGAGGAGGAGGGAGGAGGAGGAGGAGGAGGAGGAGGAGGAGGAGGAGGAGGAGGAGGAGGAGGCGAGGAGGAGGAGAGGAGAGGAGAGCTCGAATCGAACTGGGCCCTGGAGGGGGTCCCCGAGATCCTGGGGCGCCACGCCGGGGCGACGGGCGCGGACGCGCTCTGCATTTGGTGAGACGAGCGCGCTCCACGACTCGCAGAGCACCTGCTCGCAGATGGCCTGGATCCCCCGCGGGGGATGAGGAGGAGGATGAGGAGGATGAGGAGGAGGAGGAGGAGGAGGAGGAGGAGGAGGAGGAGCTGCGACAAATCACATCAAAGCAGACTTATGTTTCTCGGACGTTTGCGAGTAGGCACTGTGCGAGTAGTGGAACGCGCTCGGGGATGGGTGGACTCTGGAGGGCCCCCCTCGCTCGCCCTGCAACGTCTCCGCGGCCCCGGTGCAGATCCACACCGGCACGCCCGCCCGCTCCACCGCGCGCAGCAGCGCCTCGTCGCGCCCTCTGCACAGCCAGTACGGGCTCAGCACGCAGTCGCGCAGCAGCTCCTCCGACCTCGGCTGCCGGGGCCCGCCCTCTGCTGCTGATCCTGCCGCTGCCGCTCCTCATGCTTCTCCGTCCGTCCTCCTCCACCTCCTCCACCTTCTTCTTGCTGCTCTTCTTCTTTTTCTTCTTCTTCTCCTTCTCCTTCTTGCTCATATTATTTCCTTCTCCTGGTCCGCATCCACCAGGCCTCCGGCGGATCGGAGCAGAACTTTGACCGAAATTCTTGTGCCTCTTTGGGCCCCTGGGGGCCTCTTTCGGAGGCCTCTGTGGACCTCTTAGGGACATCCGGGGACCTGCGGGAAAGGAGGGGGCATGGGGATGGGTGGGAGGGATTGAGGCATGGAGGAAGGGAGGAGCAGGAGGATGATAATGATGCTGATGCTGATGATGACGATGATGACGATGAGACGCCCATGGAGGCGATGATCCACTGAACGACAGCAGACCAGACACAAAAGGGCTCCTGGGAGGGAGGGACGAGTGAGGAGGAGGAGGCGAAGCTTGGGCCTGTCTTGGGGCCCTCTTAGGTCGCCTGGGGCCTACCTTGGGCCTCCCCGATTTCCTGCAGAGGCCCTCGAGGGAGTCTTGGGCGCCTCTGGGGCCTGCTTCTGCGGCTCTCTTGGGGCCGTTTCGGGCCGACCTCGGGTGCCTCTTGGGAAATTCTTGGTGCTGGTAAACTGAAGCCGGCGACATACTTGCCTCTTGGAGGAGGGCGAGGATGAGGAGGAGGAGGCTACAGGGATCACAACCATGGAAGCCCCATCAAATCCCTCTAGCCTCTTGGGGAATGAGTTGTCTAATGAGCTCGTTCTGCTAACCCCCCTTCTTCCCCTTTGGGCAGGGGGTTCCCCCTGGGTCTGGAACCTTGCCCCCGCGAGGTGGCCTCAGAGTGTCAGACGGTCCTCTTTGGCCCCAGATGGTCCCAACAGGGCCCCAGAGAGCCCAAGATGGTCTCCAAGATTGCTCAAGATGTCGCAAGATGGTTCAACATAGCCTCCAGTATGTCTCCAAGAGCCCTGAAGGTCGCCCCAGGGCGGCCCCAAGTCCCCTCCGAGCCTTTTAAGGAGGCCTCCAAAAGGCCGAAATCGTTCGAACCACTGTGTTTCTTTGATGCTTTTTGCCGTCTCGCTTTTTCGCTTCGATGGGCTCTTGATGCCTCAACATTGCCCTGAGATGGTCCAAAAAGGCCCCAACAGGAGCCCAAGATGGCCCCAATAAAGTTCTAAAAGGCCCAATCGATTCGCCTCTCGCGACCTTGACCGCGATCCTGTCGGCAAGCCGACTCGGAGACCGATCGAGCGATCTGACAGAGCCTCGAGCTCGCGAGCGGCCGCGACACTCGCGACCTCGACTGCGATCTGTCGGCAGGGTCGGTTCGGCGCCCGAGATCGAACGATCCGATTGGGCCTCGAGCCCGCGAGCGACCCCGACTCTCGCGACCTCGACGGGGATCTGTCGGCAGGGTCGGTTCGGCGCCCGAGATCGAGCGATAGCCCAGGCCCCGAGCCCGGTGTAGATCCTGCACCTGCCCTTGCGGAGCTCCCTGTTCGCGTGCACCTCCAGCGGGGCCAGCACGTCACCCGTCAGCAGCTCCCTCGAGAACTGGCTGCTGGTGTACGTGGGGCTGCCTTGGGGGTCCCCAGAACGGTGCAGCGACAGACCGATCCCACCATACGAAAACCGCTGCCATGGACACTCCTCCGGCGCCCGGATGGCTTGCAGTCGGCGAGTCGCAAGGTACGCTGGCTGGCCGGATGCGCTCAGCATGGCGTTAACATCGGTGCCTTGGGGGCACCTCGACCCCCCCAAAGCCCTCACTGCACGGTCCGTCACCGCACCGCTTTGGGACTCCGGGGAGGCCCGACGTCGTCCCGAAGCACCCTCGGAGGACTCGGAACGACCGAGGGCCAACACCGTATACGGCCCCAGAGATCTGACGACGCCAGAACGCTGAGAAAACCCGCGAGAAAAATCGCGACCGGAGCCCTATACTATAGACCCCCTCTCTCTATCCGCCATTCTCTTCGAGCTGCATCGCGACCTGCAGTGCCTCCGGGCCCCGGACACCGGGCGAGCACGCCCGCTGCGGGGCAAGCTGCCCAGACCCCCGACGTAATGATTTTTTCACTACGTCGACCCCCAGAGGTCCCGACCCCTTCCCCAGGACCGGCTTGCATCCTGAGTCGTTTTTTGACGCTCCCGAGGCCCGGTGAGGGCCCCCAGAGGCCGAAAACTAGGAAAAGCCTCCCGTCATGTTTTTTTCATTACTCGAGGGGGTCTGGGGAGCAAGCTGCAACGCCCGGACCTCAGGGGTCACCGGTGTGGTCGCGGCACCGCTCTTAAGGGCCCCCCGGGCTGCCGCACGTGAGGTCGAGCTGCGGGCACACCAGGACGAGGCCGGGCACGGCCGCCAGGGCCTCCGGGTCCTCCCGGGCCAGCAGCAGCATCAGCGACAACGCCTGGGTGCCGCCGCTGCAGTCTCCTCCGGCGCGGAGCTCCACAGCGGGGGAGGCGGGGGGGCAGGAGGAGGGCGAGGAGTGCCAGGAGGAAGCCGAGGATGACCGGGAGGTCCTGGCGGAGCTGTGGCACCTTCTTCGTGCTGTCGCCCCCTCACCCCGAGTCCCCCGCGGCGGTGCTTTTGGTGTTCTCCTCCCCCCCCTCTCCTCCTCCGCCTCCTCTGTCTCCTTTCCCTCCTCCTCCATCTTCTTCCTCCTCCTCCTCCTCCTCCTGGACCTCGTCCCCCTCCTCGTCCTCCACCTTCCCTGCCAATCTCACCACAGACAACCTGTGTGTGTCTTTCGCTTTCGAATGGTCCTGCGATGACGACGCGGCCTGGGCCTGCCCGGGCCTGTTGGGTGACGGGGTCGAACGCGCGGAGCCACTCGAAGTCCTTCCGCAGCTGCTGCAGAATCGCCGCAGCTTTGTAGGGGCGATGCTCCTGGGGGTCCGACAAACGATGCCTGCTGCCGCGCTCCCGTCGATCCGAATCCCGCCAGCCCAATGGGCGAAGGTGGCTTATGGTACGAGCTCTTCCGAAGCCGCCCCCCTCTTCCCAGGGGTTCCCCCCTCCCACTCACCCCGCGTTGCAAGACTTCCCTTCCCCCCCCCCCAGCCTTGCCAGGCGACGAGGGTGTCTGGACGCCTTTCGGGATGGACTTGTTGCCGGTTTGAACCCTGATGGGAAGGCGGGGGGACCGTCGTGCCGTCACGACTTGGGCGTTGGCTTCTGGCACCGCGCAGCTCGCTCAGCCCTGAGAACGATCGCGCCTTGCCGATAGCGCTGATTGTTCGATCACGGCCGACTCTGGGTCACAGGAGGCGTCCAGCCTGGACTGCCCGCGCTGGGGTCGCTGCCGAGCCGACAAGATGCGAACCTGCCACAATCCCAGACATTCGATGCCGTTTTTTCCAAGACGTGGTCCAATTTTCGACCGTGAATCGTTTTCTGGTGGTCCTGGAGTCCAGCGAGGGCTCCCCCAAAAAGGGGAAGAACATCCGCATCGTGACACTTCACGACCAGAGTTCTAGACCCTCTCTGCACCACTTTCGCGCAAGATCGGTCTGTGATGGTCCTGGGGCCCGAGCCTAGGCGAAAACGCCTGGTGTGAAAGAATTGCGACGCCCCCGCACCTCAGTGAGTCGACGCGACGCGAACCCCAAAATCCGATGTCTGGATTTGTTTCGAGACGCGGCCCCCGGAAGTCCCGACCCTTTGCGCAGGGCTGGATTCCTCCTGACGGTCTCGAGGCCCGGCGAGGGCCCACGGAGGCCGAAACCGGCGGCAAACCTCCGCCTTCGCTTTTGTCAAGGCGCTCGATGTCTTGGAGCCTGCTCGAGATGACGGGGGGTCCGAGCAGACGTGGTCGGAGGAGAGCACCGCATCGCAGATGTATCGGCGATGTGCCCGCGATGCATCCACAGGGCATCGGCGTGGAGAGC